TCTACAATCAAATACATAAATCCTTGTCAAGCTGGAGTTTTTCTAAAACCTTTTGTCGTATAACAAATTTATTATTGGAGACTGAAATTCCTCCTGTAGAAATCTGAGCTTACCATGGAACTTGAATTTATTATTAGCTTCTAGATACAGAGTGTATGATCATGGTTTTTGTTGAAAGGCTCATCTTTTAATATGTCGGTTCAGGCTAAGGCTGCAATTCAAGCTGGGTTGAGGAAAGGAAATGCTAGGGACAGGTCTGCACTGAGCAAGATCAGTAGCCCTGCACATGAAAACAGAAGAAGAGATCAAATGAGTAGCAGTTCTGATTCTTCCAGGTAAGCCTGACAAAGAGCTAACTTTCCATATCTTCAATGCAGAATTTTATATAGCTTTGGTTGTTATTCGGTTGTGTTAATATCTCTGATTATTATTATTCTATTCCAGAAGTTCTCGTGAATATTTTGATGCACAAAGATTATTTCCAAGATTACGACAACCAAGTGATGATGAAGAAAATGCAAAGATAGCATCATCATCTGTACCACTATCCATGTTGCTTATCCCTTCCCTGAAAGAGGTGCGCACCAAAATGATGTTTAGTTTAGTTTAGCTTTTTTTTCCCTTTCGATAGTGTGATAGAGGTAACTCTTGAAATATTCTTTCATTTAAGCATCTTTTAGCCCAGAGTTGCATTCTTTTTTAACACTTGAGGCTATCAAGACATTTGAACTCTGAATTACTCGAACTGAGGTCATCCACTCTACCAAACAGGTCATGTGCTGTTGCTACAAAGGCTGTATTTAAGATGCTTTAATGATCATAGGTTTTCACTATTCTGAGTATGCTGTACGATAGAACTTAATCTGTGTGTGCGACTCTCATCACCGCCAGTATCTTTATCAATGAAGTGATTCATATAATGATGGACGTGAAAACAAGACCTCATACCAACTTTTAGTGAGTTGGGTAATAAATAAAAAAATATATTTTGGTTATGATAGAAGATGGAAAAATCCAGGAATAAGAGATAGGATATTGAAATGGTTTTTGACTAAAAGAACATTGATCTACGATTGTTTTGAGGTAGAGGAGCAACTTAATATGAGTAAAATCAGGAGGAAGTCTGAAAGAGGTGATGATTAAATTAGTAAATAAGGGTCCTTGCCCATGATCTATATGGACTGGACCTGTGCCAAAGAATGCATGTTTCTAAGTCATTAATTCATGTTAAGAGCTCGTTTGTGTGAATTTATGTCTTTACTCAAAGCCATCATCTGGACATGGTTGTTTGATGAAGTTGTCTACTGTCAGCTGCCTGTATTTATTAAGTCTGCTTTAGATTTGTTTACATCTTAATAGTTTGTCAATGCATACAATGTAGGTCATTGCTGATGATTCAGAAGGGTCAGTTGTGCATGCAGTTACAAATTCTCTCGTAAATATGGAGCGTACAAAGCCTGGATCTTGTGAAGCTCTTGTTCGCAGGTTGCTGGAGCGATTGGCAAGGTTTGAAAATTTTTGTTCAAAGAAAATAAATTTTATATCTCACAGTATCATCCCCTTTCACTCAAGCAGAGGTAAAATTTTGCAGCTCGAAGGAATCTTCATTGAAAGATATGCAGGAGCTAGCAGCTCGCATGTTCAACAAGGGCAAGACGACTCCTGGAGACACACAAAATACAAACATGGAAACTGACAGTAGAAAAAAACAGCAGCATAAAGAACTTCATTCAAATTCCAACTTGAGCCCTCTTGCCAGATTTCTACTTTCAAGGTTTGTTGAACTATTATTCCCTTTACAAATGATTTTCATTTAGAAGATGAAGTCTTGTTTACAATGTGCCATTCTGAAATCTTCTCATGTAACGCAGATGGCAAAGCCAAACATAGCGGGATCTCAACCCAACCTGAAGGAAAATACGAGATTGACTATGTCTCTAGTGTTAACTTTTCTGCATTTCATATGATTTTGATGTACATAACATTTTAAGAAACTTGTGCATTTACTATCCATTATGATTAAATTTTCTATTTTTATACATTTTTGTTTTGCAGTGGCAGCATCGATGTATAGTTAGGTTTTGCAATTATCACATTACAAGATGTAATCTCACTAACATTAATCATTCAGTAAAAATAATCTCTTTGTATAAACTTGCAAGTGAGTTTGCTTACATTTTATAGTTTTCTTCTGTTGTCCTTAATTTTCATGAATGAATATATTGGATGGAGGTGGCAAATAGATGGGTCAAGTTCGGATCAGATTGTTTTTGAACTCAATTTTTTTGGATTACGGTTTATTTAGGATTCTGATTGTTTCACCTTCAAACTTTTGGCTATTTTTTGTTAATCTGGATTAGTTTGGGTTCGATCACATACTCGGGTGGATATTCAGGTTTGGATCAACTTTACCGGCTCCAAGATTGGAGGCCTTGTGACTGTGAGCACCTTTTCAATTAACTTGACTTCGGTTATTGATGGTGCCCTCTTGAATTATTAGGGGCAGCCTTTCATGCTTTAATGGATGAAGAGAGCAAATCTTACATATAATCTTAGAGATCTAACTGAAGTTTCAATTGAACCAATTCTGTGGCCAGAAGTTTTTACAATGGATCCTTCCAAGTTTCATATGAAGGCAACCTACAGCTGCCACTGGCACAAATACTTCCACTTTGGCCATGTAGATTCTTGAAACCTTTCAAGTAAAAGATGTGCTTTGATCTATGCCAAGTTCTTTAAGGCAAGCAAGCCATCAATAAAGTCTCCAGTGCATTCAAACCCATTGGCTAATGGGATTTCAGGCAACATGGAAGGCTGTCTAGACTCTACACCTCTGCATATTACACTAAATGGTAGATTCAAAATGAACAGCTGTAACTGAAAGAGTATCGGAGAACTCAGCCATGAAACAACAACATCAACAAACCATTCCACGAAATTTTCTAATTTGAATCTCTAGATGGCAACCATCCATGATGGTTTAGTTACAAATTTGTGACTGATAGGCTTGCTTACAACCTAAGATTACAGGAAAAACAAAATCTATGAACTGAATCATATTCACCTCTTGAAATTTGATTCGAGTTCTCATGTAGCAAAATTTTGGACTTTGAGTGCCGAGCACTGTTTAATTGCAAACTCTGAATGAACTAGCCAACTTCTGGGGAGGAAGAGGTGCTATACGAAGTTAAACCAGCAAAAGTTCCTTATAGAGGAGTCATCAGCAAATGATTGATAGAAACCAAAACAATAGCGATTATCACATATTCATTGTGTAATAATGCATTTTCTTCTTCCATTTTACATGTGCTGAGTAATACCACTCGTTCAAGCATCATCCAGCAGGTACGCAGTTATGCTTTACAGAGGTTGTTTGCCTACCTCATTGAAGAAAAGTTGTTGATCTATAGCCGCAAAATAAAATCTCAAATTGTGGGTTGGCCATCTTTTTTTTGTTCAGTTTGATGCAATTTCCTATTTCCATCTGCCTCGAGAAGGTTGCTTTACTGGAGTCAGCTTTCAAAATGCAGTATGCAAAATCATAACTGCAAGGCACATACAATTATAAGCTCGTTACAAATTAGCACAAACATCAAATAAAAAAGTAGAAAAGAATAGCATACTGATATAACTGACACCAAAGGGCCACAGCATAGAGCCATTTGAACATTCAACCATATCAAAATAATTGGCAGTAGCTGCAAAAGGATGAGGTGAGGTTAATGGTTATACAAACCAGAAGAAAATAGCCTTCCTACATGCTCTATCTTGCGCTTCATGGAATAGCATTATTACGAATAGGTCCTGACAATGCTGATCTGAACCTGATCCAAAACCCGATCTTAAACTCAATTGGTTTATGCAATCAGTTTTAAAAAGATGATATCCATAGGTCGAGGTTTGAACCCTAGCTCCTAAAACCCTTTCCGCCATCCTCAGGCTATGGCCTCTTTGTGCCAAAAAAAAAAAAAATGTTCATCCAAATCATATTTTCTTTTCACTAAGATTCCAAGGTCAATCTACTTTTTTGCTTAACCCCCCAAATGGTAATCATTGGCAAAAACGTAATAATAAAAGGAGGCATTGAGTCATGGAGTAAGCTCTATAAATAAATTCTACAAGCACAAAGGAGAAATCTTCTTAAAATCACAAACAATATTTCCTCTGCTGAAGACTAAAGTGCTGAAATGTGAGAACTCACCAAATTGTGCCATGCGAATCAAGACCAGTTGAGTGACAGGAAACCTATCCAAACCCCACTTATCACTGAAAAACCTGAAAAGATACCAAAGTGCCAAACTTGATAGCAACCCAACAAGTGCAACTAGTTGCTGATACCCATTAACAAAAAAAGAAAACAAGTTATCTTACCTATCTAAGGTTCTTTCTTTTCCCACAACTTTCTCAGGAAACAAACAGAAAAACAATTTACCTCGTCATAGAAAAGAACGAAAATAATTCTCAAAACCAATAACTAAAATTCACAAATAAGTGTAAAGAACAAAGAAAGTTTTAGCTTACAGAGAACAAGTAAAGAAAAGGATAACAAGTGAGGCATAATTCCGGGAATAACGCTTAACATTCTCATGAACCCTGAGCCTCGCCTGAGAAACGGAAGCTGGAAACGAATAGGACCCCAAATCCCCGAAAAACCCTTTAGTCCACTACGGAGTTTCGCCGGAGAAATCAGTGGTGGTGAGCTTGGAGAATGGGTTAAGTGTGAAGAGAGAGAGCAGAGTCCATAAATGAGAAAATAAAGAGACCAAAATCCAAAAAGGAAGCCTGTGATTGGGATGGTTATTGTTGAGTCAGTTGTCACGGAGGTGCTAGTGGTGGCGGCAGCCGCGGTCGTCTGGTGGTCGTCGAGATAGCCGGAGTCGCGCAGCCAGGATTCGAGGTGGGGTCAGGAACGCTGAGCAATATTGGGTTAGAGGAGAAGACCATTTCTTTTGTTCTTATTTTTTTCCTCTTTTTTTTCAATTAGATATTTTGTTTTTATAGGACCCATTTACCGCCATACGTTCCAACTTATTAAACGTCCAAAAAATCCCAAAGATCTTATCTTGGGAGGAAAAAAAAAAATAATGTCATCGAGTAATTTCTTCAAACACCTTACCTTAACTTCGAGCTATGGATTCTCCATTCTCTCACGCCGTTTCATTCACCCACCTCTCACTCTCCTCTTCACAAACATCTACCCCAAAAGGCAACCATTGATTCCCACAAAGATTTCTCTTCGTTTTTCTAATTGTTACACTTCAGTAACTGAGCCTCAATCCTCTACCTTACTATCTCCTTATCTCTCTGTTCGTATTCGATGTCGAAATGATATTGCTGTAAGCTTGAATTCATTGATTCATTTTTTGGGTTTTCCTTATAAAGTGAATGGTATATTAATTTCTTTTTCTTTTCTTTTTTTTTTTGGGGGGGGGGGGGGGGGTGTTGGCTTGTTTAGGATATGTTTTCTGAAGCTCTTATGTGCTTTGGTGCAAGTTCAACTACTGTGGGTGAACTTGACAATGGTGACACTTCTGATGAGGTTACCCTTTTTTCTTTTTTTCTTAAAGATTGGATTTTGATTGGAAAGTATGGATTTTTTTTCTTGGGATTTGATTGTTTTTAAGGTTCTTGTGCAAGAAGAATGAGTGACCAAACTTGTCAATTTGCTTCTTAATGGGTTTAAGAAGAGTTTTGAAGAATGTTTTGAAGGATTTTGTATTTCTTATGCAGATATGCATTGAGTCCATATTTCCTGAGTTGGAAGATGTGGATGTATGCATCTCACAGGCTGCTGATTCTATAGGCTTAAAAGAGATACCAAGTTATGAAGTTAAAGCAGGTGAGCAGTATGACTGGATAAAGAAAACTCAGGTTAGTTTTCTTTTCTCATTCTCTGGTCTAGTACAATTTAGCTTCAAGGCACCTGCAACATAAAATAATTGAGAAAAAAAAAGTTTTATGATTAATTAAATTTTAATTTCGTTATCGGCACATTATTTATGTAAGGATAATGTCCTGATCCTTGAACAATTGAAGTTTGTTGGATTTGATACTTTAACTTTTGTTTTTTATTTTTGAACAGTTATCAGTACTCTGTTCTTTTTCTTATTCTTTCTTTCTCCATCAGTACTCCATCTGTTCTTTCTTTCTCAGTTCAAAAAAAGCTACATTTTTTAGCTACAAAACTTTTGTTTTTCATTTTACTTTTGTCAAGTTTTTCTGTTTCAAAATACAAGGATTTAATTCAAATTATGATGCTTGTAGTTGGAATTATAGAGATATTAGTATATGCGTTTTCATAATCATAACCCATAAATTTTTAATATTTTCAAAATGTAGCTATATGAGAAACCTTCGTTAAATTTCCAAGTTCAAAACTTCAAGCATTGGGCTCACGTTTAAAACAATCATTCTTTGCCACAAAATCTGGGTACTGCTTTTTTTTTTAGTTTCTTCATTGGGTTGATTTGACAACTTTCTTTCAGTTTTAGTGCTAACCCATGAAGAGTTTTTACTGGTTTAAGCAAATCTCACACAATGTTAGGTCAGAGAGGAGGCTTTCACTTGGAGAAAACAGAATGTTAATGGCGGATTTTTATTCTCAAACAATATTGTACTGGTGGATTTTTATTGGCTAAAATAGCCAAGTCAGCAACTTGGCTGACGAAGTTAACTCTTGGACCAAATTGATACACGATTTCAGAGTTTAGCTACCTATTTAGGAACTTTTTTAGTTTAGGTACAAAATCCAACAAACTAAAATAGTTCAGGGGCCATATAGGACATTATCCCTTTATGTAATGATTTATGTAAAAGAAGAAGAAGGAAATAGGGAGTATGAAGTAATGATTCTGATAATGCTCTAAATCACTTTAAAGTTCTTTTTTCCTTTAAAAGGCCAAGTTAGCGTATTCAATCATTACTTTAACTTTTGAAACCATTCATTTTTTGGATCTTATTGTGTAAGTGGTTTATGGATGATTAAAGGTGTTCCCAAATTGGTTTACATGTCTAGTTCTACTGATAAAATCCAATTTCATTGATAATATAATTTGAATCCTTGTTTCTGTTTGATACAGGAATCATTTGATCCAATTGAAGTTACTAAAGGACTTTGGATTGTTCCTGAGTGGAAGACTCCCCCAGTATGGTTATATCCAATTACCTTCTCTTAAGGTTTTGTTGCAGTCTTTATGTATCATACATACACAACTCCCTTCTTTGCCATTCATTTCAGAATCCATTGGCCTATTTATTCTGTAGTGGGCCTTTAAACTCCTTTTAAGTGAGGACAATATTGCAAGTTAGCTAAGAATCTATTATAAGCAGAGCTTGCGTATATATACACACACATGTAAGTCTTTAAGTTTCCTCCAGGACAATGCCTCCATGTTCATACAAAATAAAATCTTATTTTCTATGCACATAGAAGAATGTTACTTTTTTAAGTATTATTGGTGAGTTGAACAAGTATAAATGTGTTTGTTTTCATTCCCTTAGGATGTTCAAGCAACAAATATTATTTTGAATCCTGGATTGGCTTTTGGAACTGGGGAGCACCCAACCACTAGATTGTGTTTATTGCTGCTACAGAGATTGATAAAAGGAGGAGAACACTTCTTGGATTATGGCACAGGTTCTGGTATTTTGGCAATTGCAGCACTTAAGGTATTTAACTCTTGATCATATGATTCGAACGTTAACTATAATAAACCTTGTCAATCTGAGTTATGAGTAAACATTTCTAGGTACTGATATTGGTGTTACCTTCCATTTACATCACCATTTGTTCTATGATATTATTGGTTGTAAGAGATCTTGGATAAATATTTGATAAATTTTGAGTTTCAAATGTGTTCCGGGTGTATGTGTCTCCTACTTTTCTCATCTTGCTATGAGATTGTACACTCAAATGTGACTTAACACCTTTCTTCTCACATTTTTCATGTGATTTAGGATTCTTATCAATACTGTAGTAATATGTTGTGTCAGCTGATTCTCACATGCTAATTTCTCAATAATGATGTGAACTGCAGTTTGGTGCTTCTTTGTCTGTTGGAGTTGATATAGATCCTATAGCAATAACATCTGCACGTCAAAATGCTGCTCTGAACAACATAGGACCGGAAAAATTGCAATTACACCTGGTTTCTGGCAATACTTCCTCCCCCTTAATTGATGAACATAAATATGTTGAAAAGCAGACTTCATGTGAGAAGGTGGTTGAATCTGAACAAGAAAAATACGATGTGGTCATTGCAAATATACTTTTAAATCCTTTGCTAGAATTAGCAGATGATATTATCTCTCATGCTAAGCCTGGGGCAGCAATTGGCCTTTCCGGTATTCTATCTGAGCAGGTATTTTCCCAGCTTAAGTTATTAACTTTATTGGCATGATAGGAAACTAGATGTTTGATCAGAATGGTTGGCCATATCAATTATGGCTTTGGTCATAGTGGGAAGTTCATGTTTACCTAGAACTTTATCTTAAGAAATTTCTTATGTTCAGAGAGCACATCATAATAAACCCAAAGAAGTAACCCCAAAAGTCCCCCCACCTTTGAAGGGGATGGACTACAATTTTGTTATAGTGATCGCTAATCAGCAAGAAAAAATGGCCTTTATGGGTTGATTTTGTGTATATACACATTTCCAGTAGAGGTTAACTTTTCAAGCAGTGTTGTAAGCTGAAAATGAAAAAAAAAAAAAAAAAAAGGCCAACAATCGTGGTATGTTGATAAAATATTGAACTCTTAGTTTTAGTGTTCAGGATTCAATCTCTAGCAGTGTCAAATATTAAAAAAATGAAAAAAAAAAAAAAAAAAAAAAAAACCAAATGGATGTTTTGGTGTGGTGCTCAGGCTCCATTAGTTCTACTGGTTTACAATAGCTGCAAACTACTGAACACAAAAATGCTACCCAAGGGTGAACAATAGATCAATTCAGGATTAGACCAAACAAATGAACTTGAGACAACATGAACACATATTTACTTCTGATGTGTCTTTGCAAAGTCTTACCGCCAAAATGTTACTATTTCATTTTATTAATACATAGGTGCTTGGACCTTATTTTCAGTTTTGTTTTATGCAGCTTCCCTACATTATGGATCGATATTCCCCACTCTTGGACGACATATCTGTGTCAGAGATGGATGATTGGGCTTGTTTAAGTGGTAGAAAGAAAACAATTCTGACTGGCGGCTGAAGGACATTTAGTGGTTAGACAAGCAGAATTAAGAATGGTCAGTTTAAGATATTGGCATCGAACGGGCATTTGCTGGTTTATTACAATATTGGTCTTACAGAATGTCTTGTAGACAATTACTTTCGATTTGGAGTACCAGATCCGTTGTTAGTATATCATTGTTAAAACATGTAACTGGTTTTTTAAGGAAAATTCTTGAATTGAAATATGGTCAAATTTTGTTGTGTCAAGTTTGATTCTGCTTGCTTTGGCTTAGTTCTAAATTACGATTGAAATGAATTCAAAGCTTAATTGATTTACGCAATCATCATTAAGACTTATGATGATATCCAACAAAATTAGAGTTTGGTTCCTAGCATTTGCTATCTCTTCTCTTATTCTTAGATTGCAATTTCTTTTATATAATAATAAAAAACATGTAATGCAGCCTCTTTCATATAAAAGAATATACGATTGAAACTTATTTCCTCAAATCATATTCATAGTTGAGTTTCATTAAAAAGAAAAGGGGGTGTCATCCACTGTATACTACACTGCCAAGAAAAGAGGATGAAAAAATCTATCCCCCGAGCGGCCATATGAAGCAGCAGTTATCAGTACATCCAATATTTAAGCAAGTCGGCTAAAATATTACTATAACACTGAAATGTACTATAGAACCCAATGTTACCATAATATACTGCACCATCTAGTTCCATACTTCTAAAAGCTATAGCTGCTGTACTAGAGGTCAATCAGAAATCAGAAGGTCGACTATGATTTACTCTTTATCAGCAGAAATATCTCCAACTGATGTTGCAGGCAAAATTATAGTTGTCTGCAACTCTCAAGTCATCACAAAAATTACCTCCTTGAATCAACTCTTTAGATTTAACATCAGCGCTTGAGTTGCCTCCTAGCCAAAGCAGGGGCTCTCTTAGGGATATAGACCTGGTAACTCACCTGGAAAAAGAAATTAACAATATTATAATAACATGTAAAGAAATCAGCGAATCAATGCCACCGGGTTAAAACCTAACCTGTACCATTTCCCCACCCCGCATCACAGACATTGTCTTTTGCTGAAACTGTGAACCATCGTTGGTCTCATTTTCCAGTTTATCTGAGCTAATGCCTCCAGAGGTAGATATGGAAGAAGAAAATGGCTTATTGAAAGCAGAATCATGGGTGTCATTAACTTTACCACCACTATTGCCACACTCTGGGGGGTTCACAGTATGGGCTGTTTCTAAACTACCCTCATTCACGCTACTCTCAGTTACCAACTTAGCTTGAGCAGATTCTTGTTTTTGGGTGGTATAAGTATTAGGTGATTCCTGTCTTATTTGCGATTTAACGGACTTTGGCCTATTCGAAACAGAAGCTGCATTGTACTCATGGGGTTTCGCAGTTTGTGCAGTTTCTAAACCACCCTCATTCACACTACTCTTGGTTACCAACTTGGCTTTAGAAGGTTCTTGTGCAGCAGCTTCTTGTTTCTGAGCAATGCGAGTGTTAGGTGCTTCAAGTCTGGTTCGTGACCTTATTTGCCATTTAACGGACTTCGGCCTATTAGAAACAAAAGCTGCATTGTCTTCGGGGGGTTTCACAGTTTGGGCAGTTTTTAAACCACCCTCATTCACACTCGTCTTGGTTACCAACTTGGCTTGAGAAGGTTCCTGTGCAGCAGCTTCTTTTTTCTGAGTAATGCAAGTATCAGTTGCTTCAAGTCTGGCTTGTGACATAACCAACTTTGACTTATTAGAAGCAGTATTAATAACTGTATTAAACTCTACTCTAGGAACACCAGCAGGAACCACCAGAGCTGGTGGAGAAGCAACATCACTCCCCACAGTCCCAGAATATTTTCCAACGTCATTCAGATATGATGTGTTCCTATCATTCTTAGGAAGAGTTGTAGAGTCTCTTCTAACTGGATGCTGTCTAATTGGTTGACTCACTTGGTTTGCCATCACCACTCTAGAATCATCTCCCTTAGGAACAGTAATCTGAAACAGGTCAGTGTCTGCAGAGGATGGTGTTTTAACATCATCATCATTCTTATCATTCTGAGTAATAGGCGGATTTATGTTTGTCTGGAGCCCACCACGAAACTTTCGTAAGTTTTCTAGTGCACGCTGTCTTAAAATTGATTCCATATCATCACTGTTTAAAGGAATAGAAACCTTTCTTTTTTCCCTCAAGGCATCATACCTAGGTTTACCATCCTTGCCACTTTTTTCAACATTGCTTGTTCTGATGTTAGAAACTTCTCCTTGTTCATCATCTAAAGACCTTTTAGTCTCGGATACGACATGGGAATGCTGAGGTAACTCCCTCCGACTACAGCCATCATTACTATCATTGCTTCTGCAGGATGGGTAATCATCATAATCATATACTTCTTCTTTAGGTTCATCAGTCTTCAACTCTCTGCTGCTTTCCTTTTCATGTTTAACAACAGTAATTACTGATTTCAGCCGTCTTGAATTGCTCTCCTCCATCACTCTCACCTCAATCGGATTATCATTGCCTTCATTATATCTACTGTATGAACAACTCCTTGATCTGTCCTTACTCCTTTTGCTTCCTCTTTTATCCTTCTCCAACCTTCTTCTATCTTTCTCCTTCCTTTCTGATCTGCCCCTTCTTGTCTCATATCCGATCTCATCACTGCCACTCCAACAAGTTGAGCAACTCAATGACCCACTACTCCTAGAACTCACGCTCAAGTCTCTCATAGACTTCTTCCTCTTGCCTGTTCTCTTCCTTTTATCATCCCCCCTTGATCTTCTACGTTTCTTTACATAAGGAGAATCCTCACTACTTTCCCTACTGGAGGACTGCGTTCTAGCCCTCTTCTTACCACCTTTCACATCCTTCCTATTACGAGACCTGGACCGGCGACTTCCATAATCATCCTCAGAACTAGAGGATGAAACAGACACCATACTTCGCAAATCACTATCATCCGAACAAGAAATAGAATCATCATGTCGACGTCGAAGCTTCTTGGACTTGCTTCTCCTGCTTTTAACCTTATTTCTCTTCCTCATTCGTGACTAAAATGAAAAATCGGCATACATACAAAGGGAGAGAATCAAATTAAGAACCCATTTTCAGCCAAACTTTTTATTCAAACATTAAATGATATTTTTAGTTACTAACAAAAGGGTCATCCAATAACCAATCAAATCACCCAATTGAGTACTCACTAAACTAAATTTCAATTTTTAAAATTTTATAAGAAGAAAATACCAAAAATATCAGTCCAAATTTCTTAACTTTCAGTTTCCTAGTGCCCAATTAAGCCAAAGTTTTAAATTTTCAATCTTCTAAGAACAAAATACCAAAAAATGAGCTAAAAGATCTCACATTTCTTCAATATTCCTAAGGTTTCTAGGCATCCAAGCAAAGGGTAAATCTTTAAACCACTAAACTACAAATTGCCGGTAATAACTGACCAAAAATTTAACCCACAAAAAGAAATCGTCAAAGAAAAAGAAAAATCGTTCACATTTAAAGAGGGAGAGAGAGAAGAAAGTACCTGAGATGAATTTTTGGAACGTTTTTTCTTCAAAGAAGATGATTTTCCCATCTTTGATTTTCCCATCTGCAAGAAAAAAAAAAACCAAAAAAGTAGAAAAGAAATCAAAACAGAAAAGGTTAATTCATGAAAAATTAAATGGAAAAGAAAAGAAAATTGGAAGACAGAAGAAGAAGAAGAAAGCTTTTTTTTTTTTTTTTTAGTCTTTTTGGAAGAGTTTGCGGCAACCTTAACAACCGGATGAAAACTAGTGAGTTATTGACACGATCAAACCGGCTTGTCGTTTTATGGTCAAACCGTTTTATGTAAAGTAAATCATAAATAAATAACTTTTTCTTTTTTTCCTTTTATTTTATGTTTTAATTAAATATCAAAATTATTAAATTTTTATGTGTTAAAACAAAATTCATATTTATTTGATTAGTGAACTTTCAATCAAAATTAGTATTTAATTTACCTAATTAAGAAAATTATTGAAATGCTTTAAGTCAACATAAGATTATAAGAAAAAAAAATCATTGCAAATGAAAATCAATTATTTATTTTAAGGTTTCACTATTTTTTTTCAAAATAGAGAAAGTTGTCCAAAATATTTTTCAAATATAATTTTTTATTGATTTTTTTTTTTGAGAAATTATAACATGAAAATTTAACAAATTTAATAGAATTTAGCTGCATAAGAAAAATGAATTGTCTTGACACTTATTTGGTAAGATATTTTTAGTATGTATTATTGTATGAATTGAATTGAAATATAAAAATTTGAATATAAATATCGTAAAAAAAAAGTGCATGATAAAATGTTGAATATAAAATTATACTGAATCAATATTTTTGAATTATTTGGTGAAAATAAGTATATTACTTCCTAAAATTTAATAACTTATCTTATTATATATCATAAATTAAAATAAAGAGACACTTAATGTCTTTTAACAATTTCATTAACATAAAATTTATTTAATTGTTTGTTATGTATCATAATGGATATTAAATAGCAAAACTGTCTAAATTATTATTTTTAAATTGGTAAATCATCAAACAATGATACATATATTAAAAAATACACATTAAACACATAAGATATTTCTTATTTAATTCTTTTATTCAATAGCAATTAAATTAATTATGACCAAATAGTTGATCATGATAAAATTGTTGACAAAAGACATTCAATCATGGCATAAGTGAAAGCAATTAACATTCTAATTTAAAACTTATTCAGTTGTACAAAAAAAAAATTATGCTATTGATTCATGCAAAGCAAATTAAATAAAAAAATATATATAATAGAATAAAATCGCATATATTAAACATAAATAAACATGATGTTTGAAAAAATTACAAATGAAAGATAAAATCGTAATGCGAAAGCAATATATATATATATATATCTATGTTTTATTTCTTATTTCATTGAATGTGATATTTTTATCTTATTGTATTATAAAAATTTTAGATACAATATTTTGAAATCAAAGAGAGATTCATGCCAATATGAAATTCAAGTCCATAGAAAAAGTAAATCACTTAAAATCATTAAGAATAAATAAATTATAAGTGGAGTTTAATTGAATATGCATAAAAAATAAACAAAAAAAAGTAATGCCAAATATGATAAAGCAAAAACATTTATGGGCTGAAAAAGGTAAACAAAGGAGAAATAATACCTAAAATAAAAATAATACATTTTTATTATTAATCATGATTGAAAAACTAAATCAAACTAAAAATAACTACAAATAAAAATCATTGGTTGCTATATAATAGATTCAATAAAATTTTTTGAGTAAAGATTTACCTAATCACAACTAAACAAATGTATTTAAAGG